TGTATCTTAATCATCTCTATTATAAAAATGACAAAAGTGAAGCTCAGAATATTTACTATGGTGAACAAGGTCACATAACTAGTAAGTGGAGGAGCCAGGATTTAATCCTTATCTGTCTGGCTCCAAAATCCTAACCATCATGTTAATTGTTGCTAGGATAAGATAGAAACAAAACAAATGGGATATTTCATTATTACTTCACATTTATTGCAAGTGTATGTCATAAAGGAATCTTTTCTGATCAACATAGATCCACAAATAGAAGTGTATATTTCTTAATCAGCAATCATATACTTGAAGAAGTCATTTTTCCCTAGCATTGCAATATTTTTTAAAAGATTACTTATTTGAAAGACAGAGTTTCAGAAAGGCAGGGGCAGAGAGAGAGAGAGAGAGAGAGAGAGAGAATGAGAATCTTCTATCCTCTGATTCACTCCCCAAATGACCATAATGGCCAGAACTGAGCTGATCCAGAGCCAGGAGCCAGGAGCTTCTTCTGGGTCTCCCACATTCCCACATGGGTGCAAGAGCCCAAGAACTTGGACCATCTTCTACTGCTTTCCCAGGCCACAGCAGAGAGCTGAATTGGAAGTGGAGCAGCCAGAACTCGAACCAGTGCCCATATGGAATGCTGGTACTGCAAGCAATGGCTTTACTTGCTATGCCACAGCACCAGCCCCCAAGCATTGCAATATTAAATTGCACATCTTTTGTCTCTACTTTATTTTTCTAAGTATCCAAGAAGGCAAGCATTTGGATTAAAGTTTAAATCACCACTCTGAATGCCTGGATCTTAGAGTGCCTGGTTTGAGTCCCAGTTACTCCACTTTGAATGTAGCTGATGTTAAGGTGCACCCTTGGAGACAGCAGTGCTGTCTGTAGTTCTTGCCATTCATATTGGGTACCTGGATTTAGTTTCCAGTTGCCTGGCTTTGGCCTGGCCCAGCCCTCACTGCTGCAGGCATTTAGGAAGTGAACCAACAGATTTTCCTCAAATAAATCTGCTGGTTTACTCTCCAAATGGCTGCAATGGCTGGGGTTGAGCCTGGCTGAAATCAGCAGCCCTGAGCTCTATACAGGTCTCCTACACGGGCAGTAGGGGCTCAAGTACTTGTGTGTTCCACCCTGCTTTCCCAGGCACATTACCAGGGAGCTGGTTTGGAGGTGGAGCAGCTGGAACAGGAACTAGCACTTCAATATATGATGCCGGTCTTAAAAATAGCATCCTAGCCTACTGTGTCAGAACGCCAGCTCTGTGATGGAGAAGTTTATATGTGGAGAAAAATGTTTTCCTTTATGAAGGCATTTGGTGAAACTCCAAACCAAATATATCAGACAGGTCTCTGGCTAATTAAACATTTTCTTAAAATCAGATCCCTTGGTGGGGTCCTGAAACATCTCTGAGATTTATGTGCATTCAAATGCTACCATGCCAAAATACAAAACTATGGCATATCTGTTAAACACTTCTCTGTTGAAGTACTTGCAGTGTTACACAAATAATCTTGGGTACTTCAATAAATGCACATCACAGAGCCACATGAAGGGTAAGTACATTACCATGGAACAGAGAGTAAGCAGGTCCACCTGACTCCAAAGCTTGCCTCTGGCCAAAGGGCTCCCCACCCAACTCCTGCCCCATAACAGCCTCTCAAGTTTTAATTTTTATGTCTTCTTGTTAAGACACCTGGAGCACTTTCTGGATCAAGACAAGGCACAAATCAGAATGAAGTAAATTCTCTCCGTTTCCAGAGACAACAAGGCACAACAGAGCCTTTAACAATCTTGAGATAGTTGGTTATTCTTAAATCAATCTTTGCTTTTGCTTTTTGTCTTCTAATTTTCCTTTGAGCAGCAATACAATCTTTTTAAAAAGTAGGTGAACTTAATTTTCAGAACCATTTTAGGTTTATGGGGTAACTGGAAAGATAGCAGAGTCCATGTATGGGAGACATCCAGTTTCCCCTGTTATTAGTATCTTCCATTTAGTGGGCAACATTTGTTGCAGTTAATGAGTCAGTACTGATGCTTTGTTATTACTGAAACTTCATTCTTTATTAATATGGCTTTAATTTTTATCGAATTTCCCTTTTCTGTTCTAGCAGGAACAACTAATATATTCTTTTTTTAAAAAAATATTTATTTTATTTATCTGAAAGGCAGAGTTACAGAGAGGCAGAGGAAGAGAGAGTGAGCAAGAGTAAGAGAGAGAGAGTGAGATAGAGGTCTTCTATCCTCTGGTTCACTCCCCAGATGGCCGCAACAGCTGGAGCTACACGGATCCAAAGCTAAGAGCCAAGATCTTCTTCCAGGTCTCCCATGGAAGTGCAGGAGCCCAAGGACTAGGGCCATCTTCCACTGCTTTCCCAGGCCACAGCAAAGACCTGGATCGGAAGTGGAGTAGCTTGGACTCTAATTGGCACCCATATGGGATGCTGGCACTGCAGGTGGCAACTTTACCTGCTATGTCACAATGCCAGCCCCCAACTAATCCATTCTTCATGTGGCTCCTAAAAATAATACCTGAGGTCATCAGTGGACATGAGAAGAGATGAGCTGTGTAGTATATCACATCACCCTTTACCAAGAGTATTGGCACACTGGAGGACAATCCAAAGATAAGAGTGGCGTGGCCTTGTTAGTGGTAGCATGATCAATCGTCATGTCACCTGAGTCATCTCTTGGCAGTGACAATCTCTCAGACTTCTCTAGTTTTTGAAAATCTTTACAGTTTTGATGAGGATTAGTCAGACATTTTGGGAATGTCTCTGCACTGGGATTTGTCTGACATTTTTCTCTGACTAGACTGGAATGATGTGTTTTGGGGGCATAAGGGCCCATTCTAATGACATCCTGTTACAAGTACCTGTGATCAGCATGACTTAGCACAGTTGGTGTGGACCCTGACTCAGGTACAACAGTGATTTTTACATTTTTATTTTTATCTGTTTCGAATGCAGAGAGACAAGGAGAGATCTTCCATCTGCTGTTTCACTTCCCAAATGCCCCCAGCAGCTAGGGCTGAGCTACATGGAAACCAGGAGTTTGGAACTCAAGCCGGATGTCACACATGTGTGGCAGGGACTCAGCTGCCTGGGCCACGGTCTATTAATCTGTATTAGCTAGGAGCTGGAATCAGGAGTGGAACCAGGTCTCAAACTCAGTCTCTCTGACATGGGGTAGAGGTTTTCCAATGGCTAGCTTAACAGTTGTGCCAAATGCCCATCTGACCATGGTACTATTTAAAACGTAAGTTTTATGCTCTCTTTGATTTCCTGCATTTTGTTCCTAAAGGCTGTATTTGAACTCTGCCTCTTCATAAACCTACATGAGATGCCTGGGAGATATTACGTTAACTAGCAGCAATTTTATTTTTCTTTTTCTTTTTTGCTGTCATACAATTGACTCTTGAGGCTACACTTTGAATCTGTTTGAAGAGTTACTGGTTTTAAGATGGATTCTATGAGGGGGAGTCTTCATTCTTGGAAAATTGATTTAAAAAATAATGTACCTTTTTGATAAAATTTTTGATGAGCCCTGGTATTATCTATTGTACATTATTTGCCTTTCAATGTCTCACTGATTCACATAACATCATATGTTTCAAATTCATTCATGTTGTTGCATATAGCATGGTTTATTTCTTTTTAAAGACTGAATAATAATTCATTATATATGCACACATGCATGCACATATATACATATTTACAATTGTTCTTTACCAATTCATCCATAAATTGACTGATTCCATGTTTGGTAGCATAATAATGCAATGAATTTGAGAGTCCAGATATATTTCAACATACTAATTTCATTTTCTTTGGAGATAGATATAGATATAGATATACATATACATATACATATACATATACATATATGTAATCTCCAATAGTGAGATTGCTCCATCGTATGAGAGTTTTACTTTTAATTTTTTGGGGACCCACCCATTCTGTTTTCCATAATGGTTGCAAAAGCTGGATTCATAAGAGAGAGAGGTGCCACCATTGTGGCATAGCAGGTTAAGCTGCTGCCACTTGTGATACAGGAATCCCATCTTGGAATGCCCATGGGAATCCCAGCAATTCTGCTTCTAATCCAGTTTTCTACTCAAGGCCTACTAATGCTTGGGCCCATGCTGCACATGTGGGAAACCCAGATAGAGTTCCTGGTTCCTGGCTTCCACCCCAGCCACAGATTTTGTGGTAATTTGTAGAGTGAACCAGCAGATACACGGTCTCTCTCTTGCTTTGTCTTTCAGTCTTTGTTTCAAATAAATGAATGAATGAATATGTGAGTAAATAAATCTTTACAGAAGAGGGGTAACAATGGTTACAAGGGGCCTAGAGGAGGTAGGAAATGGGGAGATATTGATCAAAGGGCTTTAAAAGGTACAAACTTTCAGTTATAAAATGTTCTGAGGCTCTAAGGTGCCACATAGTGACAGTAGTTAATGATATTGTATTATATATGGAAATTAGGAATTAAGAGTTCTTATCATATGAAAAATAACAGGTAACTATGCAAGATGATGTGTTAATTTCACTGCGATGATCATTTCAGATTGTGTACATGGATCATCACATGATTTACCTTAAATATATACAATAAAAATGTATTAACAATAATTGTATATATTACAAGGTACAGTATCGCACTTTAACACATTGTCAATTATACCTTAGTAAAACTGGGAGAACAGATGAATTCTATTAGCAGTGTGTTGTAGCATTTGTTTCATTTTGTGTTTGCCTAGGATGAGGCATCAGGGGATGTGGATTTTGCTCCCTATTCATAACACCAGGAACAATATACAAGTTTCTAGCCCCTTGTTATAGTACCTCATGTTTACATAGGACTTAAGTTTTTAAAGTGCTTTCATAAGTAAAATGACCCTGTCCCCAAAACAAAACGTTGCTTAATTAATGAATGAGGGAGTGAGTAAATGTATATATTCCCAGCTCAGGGCAATGCAATGAAGTTGAAAAGGTGAAGATTCTTAGATTCAGAATGAACTGTTTTAATTCTTTTATCTACAGTTTGCTGACTCTGGTATCTTAAGTTTGTGAGTTAATTTTCATGGGATCTGTTTCATGTTGGGTGGCCAGTATAAGGGACTGAGCTCAAGACAATAATGGCTGCAGTAAAAAAATTAATGCTGAGGTGACATTCTATACTTTGTTTTTTAAATTTTTGTTTATTTACTTTCATTTAATTTGAAAAATGGAAAGAGAGAGGGAGATCGAGACAGAGATCCTCCATCCACTGATTCTCCACTTATATCCCTACAGCAGTCATATCTGGACCAGATAAAGGTAAGAGTCTGGAACTTCACCCTGATTCATTACATAGGTAGTTGGAACTCAGGTGCTTAATGGCATCACTTGCTGCCTTCCAGGGTGCATATTAGCAAGAAGCTGGAACAGAAGTGAAGTAGCCAGACCAGGGCATTCTAAGATGTGACTTAAATCAGATAACAATTGCCTACCCTGATATTCTGTACCTTTGTCTGTATATCAAATTGGAGTATTAAAACATGGAATACTATATGCCTACATGGATGCAGTAAATGAGTGATTGCAATTCCCTTTAAAATACGATTAACACTCAATTCTGAAAAGGGACTGTGTATCATCATCATCATCATCATCATCGTCGTCACTTGACAAAGGAGAGAACTGAGGCACACAGTTTCAGTAAATTGCCGCAGGGAGGACCTGGGATGTTCAGTCAGTTTTATCTGAATTTTGAACCTGTACACACAAGCGTTTTGTTATAACCATGCACCTTTTCCTTTTCTGGGGGAGAATTCCCTGTTTGATGTAGCTGAAGTGCTCAGCTTGGAGACTGCTTTGAATATGAAACAAAGCTATCACTTTTAATGACTCAGCTGACTCTAGTCTGAAGTATACCAGATCCTTTCTAGAAGAGCTGAGGGGAACTAAAAATTCCCTAAAAATGGAGATCACTTTGTTCTTCTAAAGAAAAGCTCACTTTATAGCCACACTGTGGAATCCCAGTGGGGTTTGTTTTACTTCCTCCGCCCTTTATTTCTTACATTAAGGGAAAGACATAATTGCTACGATTTATGCATGAAATGTTTCCTCAGAGATTTCAAACAATTTTGCAGACTTTCTTAACCTCCCAAGCTACCCCTTGGGGTCCCTCCAGGTTGTGTCTCATGACAGGAGTGTGCTACACAGCCTGTAGAAACACATTCAGCCATTGCTCCACTGTATCATGTATGTAGAAACACATTCAGCCATTGCTCCACTGTATCATATACATAAGAGATTGGGGCTGGTGGTGAAGGGATCTTCAGCTATAGATCATCTGGTTTATCCCAACATAAGGAGATTGTTCCAAGGTGGATATCTCAAGTGTTATGAATGACCACCAACTTGGAGAACTTCCCAACTGCTCCCTTGAACAGCAAGAGCTACCGATAGAATAGGTATTGTTTCCTTTTTTAGAACAATCATGGCAAACTTACTGGATGAGGATAAGAAAAACAGAGATTATCACTCTGTGCACTTTTTTAAGGCTGAGGCCTGCTGATTTTATTATCTAGTGCTAGAGTAGGTAGCCGGTAGAGGGAGGGCAGAGTTGAAGAAAGAAGAAAAAGTAGTAAGAGACATGTGAAAACACGGACAAGGATCCCATTCACCCTTTCTGCTTTATGTTCAGTGTTACCCTCATCCGTCTCCTAACACAGGTCTCATTCCTTTGCTTGCACTTCAGTGTAACTGAAGATTTAGTCCATTCAGACAGTGGTAAAATTGGTTGCGTTTTCTCTTTTATTGCATTTGCAGTGGGTATACAACATATCTTCATTAACTCTCTGTGACATTCAGAATAGCTTGAGATAAAAAACACACTCAATCAAACAGGAGAAACAATCCCCCTCCCTCCCATTTCCAATCCCAAGCATACCCTAGGGCATGTATTAATTACAGAAGATGAATGCTGGACCTTCATTCTCAGCAGGGAACTTGGAATTGTATTGCTCTGTTGAGTCAGAAGATGGTGTTCCATCTTGCAAAATGGTGATGGAGTCTCCATTTCTTGGAGAAGTCCCAGCAAGCATTGCATTCTGTTACTGAGTGCCTATGATGTATCTAAGATTCTTAGAAGTTTTGCATGATCCTGACCTCATAATGTACACACTTACTCTACAAGAGGCATTACTAGCCCCCATTGCTGAGTGAAGAAACTGATCAAACACAATTATACCCCCAGCACAATAGGTGGTTCCCCACATTCCAACACCGTGAGGGGATGGTCTCAGTGTTCAAAGTGATCTTGTGTCTAGGAAGACACTGCCTTGATTCTCCAGTGTTGAAGCCTAGTGGAAAATAAGAAGAGGTTTTTTTTGAACCTTGTTTGTATATCAACACTTTGAGCAAGAGTCCCAGACTGCAAACAGGACAGAGCTTGTTTGGCTCCTCATACCAAGTGAGGATTGTTGCTGGCTATCCAGAGAGGAGCCAATGCTCAGGTGCAGTTAACCTTTTTTGCTTACCTGTCATGTTGCACAAGTATCCACCACCTCTCATTCTTGTCCTGCCTTATCTGAGCATGTATCACCATTTCATAGATTAAGCTGATGAGATAGGAAGAGTGCAGAAGGCAACCAACATTTACCAATACATTTTCTTGGGAATACTAGTTTCAGTGCTTGGTTTCCCAATAACACATTTAAGAAATTAAAAATATCCTCCCCTCCTCAGTTCCACTAAATATTTCAAGAAGCATATGCTTTTTGAAGATTCTAAGATGTTGTGCTGAAAAAAATAGAGCAAGAATTAAAGAGAAAAACATGTTTACTTGCACCATATGTCTTCCACCACCACCACCACCCTTCTTCTTCTTTTTTTTTTTTTCCCTAGAAACACCTGCTCACATCCTTTGGAACTATAGCTTTCCAGTAAGCACGCTGGGAATCTCTACACCAACGACTTTTCTAAGCTACCCACAAAAACTTCAAAGAAAATGAGGATTTCACAGATTCGCCAGATATATACTTCCTTCCTCTTAGGAACCCTGTATCTCTATCTTTATTGCTGTTTTGGCTTTTAGATTAAAGATAACAAATAAATGGAGGAAGATATATAAACAAATGAAGGTAAGAAATATTTCCTACCTTACTCTTTTTACCAGTCTCACTTATCTTCTCTTATTACAAATAAATATAAGTTCTTATATACAGTTCAAACGCAACACAAATGTAGAACCATATGACTGTGTTGTGTTGCAACAGGACTTAGTTTTCTCAGTGCAGTGTGCACTCTCTTGTAAGAGGCAAATAGCCCAATGACTTTCACATTGTAAGTCTTTAGGGAAGGTGGGTTGAATGTGTGATGAATTCTATCATAATTAATTTTATCCATTCAACTATGAGCTTCCTATGGACACAGACCCAAATATTGCTCATCTTCATTCTCCACATGTAGCATAGCATAGAGTGCATTGTAGACATTCAAGGAATATTTGTTTGTTACAAGAACTCATCTTTTATTGACACTGCTGGATAGCCCTTGAGGAATGTCTCTTCTCTTCAGCCAGCAGCTGTGTTTATGTGCCTCTGTTGCCATGTACTCACTGTATTACTTAATTAAGAACTCGGTGTCTGTATCTATTAAATGGCACTAATAATGCTACTTTCCAGGGATGTTCTTAGGCTCACATTAGGAGTGTTTGTATATGTGCTTTGTAAATTCTAGAGGATTACTCATGTTGGTTATTTTCCTGATTAGATAAAGGGATCTATTTTTTAGGTGAGCCAAACTTATTTTAGTGAGGAAGCATTAACTGAGCATTTTCCTATTCCCAGGAGAGTAGGAGATAAAGACATAATGATGAATGATGTGGTACATAGTGAGGGTCATGAGTGGGTAAGCACAGGATGCTTTTGGATCACAGGAGAGGGACGCTTTCCAGTGGCACTGATGTTGTAGGTGCAAGATATAAAGGTGCATGTTTAAAGGAAGGGCCATTCTAAGCAGAGAGAATTTAATAAAAATACATAAGGATGGATAGTAATGGGAAATACATACATACATACACATGTAGGGAATTATCCAATTCCAATAAGGGTGCTGTAAACACAGTCCTGTGATAAACTAACCATTACTTACATTACATAAAGTCATGCACATTTGGAGAGAAGGAAGCAGAGAACACTCTGCCTCCCATCTGTCATGTGACAGAGCGTGCACCCTTTCCCACTGACTCCATGTGTCTTCCTGGGAATCAGAGAATGGAAGTCATCTGATGAGGAACGCGCAGCTAGTGAAGGCCAGGACCAGGATTACCACGGCAATGTAGACCAAATGAGCCTGTTGATCACACTTCCCACCTTTACACATTTCTCCTCATGTACCATGAACTGATGGGAATGTTTTACCTGCCATAAACCCTTCTTGTGTGGTAGATTAGTAAAAGGGCCAAGTTAAGTCTATTGTGGCTGCTGTGGAAGTAGGGTCTGAATCCTGGCTGACTGGCTGCAATTAATCACAAGGCAGCAAAGAAAGAGCCCATGCTGCTAGAACACCCAAGAGACAGAGGTTTAGATGTTCTAGCAACTCACATTTGCAACTCGGTGTCTCTGAAGGAGTTTTGGAAACTCCAGAGCTCAGCAAAGATTCTGAGGCTTGGGAGCTTTGTCCTTTTGGACACCTTACCCTAAAGAGCTCTCCAAGCCCCTGACATTTGGGGGATTGTCAGAGCTTTGGGCTGCCAGAGCAAGGCCTTGTCTCAGAAGCCAAAGTCATCAACAGAAAGTGAATTGAATGAGCAGGTTTTGCAGTGCCTGGAAGAAAAACTGTTTCAAAAATCTGTTTTGACTTTTGTAGTCATTGCCTTTCCCTCTGGCCCCATAATTGAGTGGGGCTGGCGATACTTATTCACCTCTTAGTCTATGGTTGAGTCACCCCCTCCTTCTCACCAAGTGTTATGAGTATGCAGAGGGAAGGTGTTTATTGAGCAGTCACACACCATTTGAGGGTGGTAGTGGTGTTGGGGGTTACAGTTATTCTCCCCAAGCAAATTCCAGAAAGGTCTTGTTCTTAGCAACTAAGAAGGGAAACAACAGTCCATATGTAACCTACTTAGGTGACTTAGTCTTGCATTTGGTGGGGAAAAATGCGGGGGTCCTATCTGCACAGCAACTACGTTAGCCAGTCTCCTTCCATTTATTGAGATTTCTTTGATAGTTTAGCAAATAAAATGTCTATGAAAGTACCCAGCAAATGCTTGCCAGAGCCTGTCACTCCATTATTTTCATGCTTGTAAGTTCTGTATTTTGTCTTACATCCTCCCTCCCTTTCTCTTTACCCCATTCCTTTCCTCTGTTTGCAAAAGCTACATTCCAAAGAGGCTCTTTCATGCAAGGATCGTATGTGAGAATAATGATGTTTGTGGATGATGCAATGAATCTAATCAAATTATTATTTCCTAGGCATTACAGTTAATAAGAAACACCTTGGAATTTCATAGTTACCATACACTTTCCCCACTATCTTCAGGTTCAGTACCTCAGTCTATCTTTACTCCACTTTTGTGAAATAGGTAAATATTATCCCCATTTTACTGAAGCTAAGATCCAAGAACAGATACAAACTGAAAATACCCCTCATGTTTTCTTCTGGCTCCTTTTAAAAAACTTTTGTGTGCCCTTGAATTTAATTTAAAGTACATTCACCTGTTTACCTGGCACCACTACTGTGATATTACACAGGCCCTTCAAACACAGCGTATCCCAAACAGGCATTATCACCTTATCTCTCTAGAGTTTTGCTGGGTACATTTGTTCAGTGGAAAACCCCTGCTGTTCATAGAATCATCCAAGGCACAGCCTTTTCTTTCCATCTGTATTCCCACATCCAGTCAGGTCCCACTCTCGTAGGCTGTCTCTACTTATGATCCTTATAATTGCATCAGTCCACCTCTACTGCATCCAATTCGGACCAAGCCACCATCATTTCTCACCCACATTATTGCAAACTTTTAATCAACCTCTGTATTGAATTTGGTTCCACTTAGTACAATTTTACACCAAAACTTGTATGTTTTTTGGAACTCAAAAGTCAAATTTCAGATTTCTCTTACCACCACCACATGCTGAGTCCATCAATGATTTCACTGGCCTATAGAGAAAATTTGTACATTTCATTATTTATGATGTGACAACTATGCATGTTATTCTAGGTTCATCTTTCATTAGATTCTGATGTTACTCATTTTATACCCAATACCAAGCCATGAGACTCTGCATTTCAGCCAGTCTAAATCTCATCACTTCTACCCATTCCTCACTAACCCATGTTTCCCACTTCTTTCCTGGATATCATCTATGTATCTGTAGGTTTCATACTACCTCTCCAAGAAGTCTTCCTGATCTTTACAAGTAGTCTCTTACAGCTACTTATACTATTTTGTTATTTCCTGTATGATGGTGCTTATTACACTACAGTTTAGTTTTGCTATTTTACTTTTATTATCTCCATTTTTCTCTGGGCACAGAGTCCATTTCTGATTCAACTTTAGCTACAAAGGATCTAGCAATAGTGTTATACATTGTAGATTACACATTGTAGATCTTGATGAATACTTTATTGGTACAGTATTCAGTAAACTGTCTAAGGCCCTAGACTGAAAGTAAAAGAGCTGTTACCCAGATCCAAATCTTATTTCTTTAAGTCAAATGCTTCATAAAAGGAAAACTATCCAAGAAACATGTTACAGAAATGATTGGAATTTTTTTTTTTTTTATCCCAGTTGATGGATGTAGTCCATCATTTAATGAAGAATAGAAGAAAATATTTTGGCCAGCACCGTGGCTCAATAGGCTAATCCTCCACCTGTGGCGCCAGCACCCTGGGTTCTAGTCCTGGTCGGGGCGCCGGATTCTGTCCCTGTTGCTCCTCTTCCAGTCCAGCTCTCTGCTGTGGCCCGGGAGTGCAGTAGAGGATGGCCCAAGTGCTTGGGCCCTGCACTCCCTTGGGAGACCAGGAGAAGCACCTGGCTCTGGGCTTCGGATCAGCGTGGCGTGCCGGCCACAGCGGCCATTGAGGGATGAACCAACGGAAAAGGAAGACCTTTCTCTCTGTCTCTCTCTCTCTCACTGTCCACTCTGCCTGTCCAAAAAAAAAGAGAAAAAAAAAGAAAAAAAAAAGAAAAGAAAATGTTGAAAATATTTTGGGCTGTTTATATGCTTCCTGTGCCTCTCTTAACTCTCACTCTATCTATCTCTACTCTCTTCTCTAGTTGTTTCCCTGGGGACCCACTCTGCTGCACCCCACACTGTCTTTGACCATATTGGAAAAGACCAAGTTCCCCAAGAATTGTATTTTCAGTTTTTCCTGGAGAGGTGGAATAAATACGGATCACTCTCACTAGGCATTCTCCTAGCACTGCCTTGTGAAGGCCTTTAGCTCCAAATGGACAGCAAAAAAATTAGTTCTCATTCTGTCTTTAAAGCCAATGATTTAGGGCAGCACTCAATACTCTTCTCCATCATATGCCTCCACCAATGATGCTTCATTAGAAGTAACTCAAGCAACTCCCATCACTCTAGGGAGGACTGCAGAGTTTACAAGGTACATCACTGTCTCATTTCTTTAAGAGGGAAACAGAGGCCAGAGGATGAAAGTATATGCCTAAAGCCACTCAGCCAGAAAACTACATAACTGGAGTCCATGTCTCTGGATTCACCATTCTTTTCTCTATTAATTTTTCCTTTTACAAAAAAAGATATATTTTATTTATTTTAAAGACAGAGTTACAGAGAGAGGTAGAGCCAGAGAGAGTTCTTCCATCTACTAGTTCACACCCCAAACGGCCACAATGGCCAAAGCTGAGCTGATCTGAAGTATACAGCAAGGAGCTCCTTCCAGGTCTCCTATGTGGGTACAGGGACCCAAGGCCTCGGGTCATCTTCTACTGCTTTCCCAGGCCATAGCAGAGAGCTGCATCAGAGGTGGAGCAGCTGGGATGCCAGAGCTGCTAGCCAGGGCTTTAACCGGCTGCACCACAACACCACCCCCTCTATTAACTTTCCTAACTTATCTGCGTATATTCAAGGTTGAAAGGCAAAAAAAAAATGAATTCCATCTACTCTGGATTCAGAGGCAGTTAGTGCCTCAATAAGCTTTTGAGGAGCCTGGAAATTTGTGCATTTTAAAGGATGGGATGTTCCATTAATCGTGGAAATGACAATATGCTTTTCATTTGACTTGTTTTTGCAGTCAATGTTGAATGTCCACTTTTTTCCATTACATTTGTAATCTCCCCGTCAGAGAAGAAAAAACCTAAAAGAAAATAAAAGAGAAAAAAGGAATGAAAGACATCAGGATAACCCCATTGATGTTGGTGTAGTAGATTTTTGGGTTTAAACTTGTCACTTGTTGACTCAGGCTTCCAGTGTCCTGTCTCTGAAGCATGTTGCTATTGCATTTTAAATGGTAGGAAAATTAGGGCTCTACATAAGATTGTTCATACTTTTATTTCCTTGGGTGTTCCTGAATGGCACACAAGGTTGGAAAGCAATGCTGTGCATTTGACCCTACTGAAAGGCCTTTATGCTCTGAAGAAGAAATTACTCACTGCCTTCATGTTATGAGTCTAAATCTGACTGCATAGTTGTAAATCTCAGACATTTGGAGGCCATAAAACATATCAAGGAAGAATACTGAGTTTACAAGAAATCCACATACCGGGCCGGCGCCGTGGCTCAATAGGCTAATCCTCCACCTTGCGGCGCCGGCACACCGGGTTCTAGTCCCGGTTGGGGCGCCGGATTCTGTCCCGGTTGCCCCTCTTCCAGGCCAGCTCTCTGCTATGGCCAGGGAGTGCAGTGGAGGATGGCCCAGGTGCTTGGGCCCTGCACCCCATGGGAGACCAGGAAAAGCACCTGGATCCTGGCTCCTGCCATCGGATCAGCGCGGTGCGCCGGCTGCAGCGGCGGCCATTGGAGGGTGAACCAACGGCAAAGGAAGACCTTTCTCTCTGTCTCTCTCTCTCACGGTCCACTCTGACCTGTCACACATACACCTGACATGTGCTAAGCAGATCAGTAGCTAAAATCCACATACCAATTTAGCACAACCTCTTCATTTCATAAAGGAGAAAATGGGAGGGCAGAATAGGAAAGTGATATGTCCCAAGGTTATAAACTGAGTTTTTGACAACACAAGAATGGGTATCTCTGTTTCCTAGTTAGATTTTAATGATAACGTGAGCCTTCAGAGGGATTGAGTGTCATCATGGTTGATTACAGAGGCTCCATGGACAGGATAGGACTTGGTCCTTTCTTTTCTATTGTTTTCCATGTGAAAATGTAATGTAGGAGTCCTTGCCTGACATCCTATCATTTCTGTGGATAGTTTCACTTCTCAAGACTTACTCTGCCTCACTTCCATTGTCTTACTCTGTCTTTGCCTCTTCCTTCATTATGACTGTAACTTCCCCTTTATCCTGGGATTTTCTTAATGGAGCTGCACTAGTTGCATCATTGAAATTCAACATCATTCAAAATCAAGGGCCTGAGAAATTTCACATATTAATACATTTTTGGAATTTCTATCCCAAGGGATGAGGAAGGAGAGAAAAGGAGAAATAGGTGGGGAAATAGGAAAAGTAAATATAAGGTGGTGATTTCTGACCTATCCACCACTTCACAAGAATGTCCATTTTATCACTAGTTTATGAGTTTATGGAGGATGCCTTAAAGAACTTAGACAGAACACCTATATATCAGAGTAGTTATTCAAGGTTGAGATAGTAGGAAAGGTATCAGATCTTTATGTGTGTAGTCCTTCCCTTTCACTGTATTATATTGGTTGTAGTGTTCTCCAAAGGGAGCTAATTAACTCTACAACATTCCCGGTTAGTATCACCGGACACCTCCAGAAACCCCTGCAGCAGGAGAGCAGGATCTGACAGAGGCAATTCATCCTAGCCCTTGCCCTTGGGAAGGTCCGGAGAGTCAGCTATCTGCTGTTTCAAGCCACTGTATTCTAGGGCAATTAGTGATGCAGCAAGTCAGGAGAGCAGATGAGATGACTGAGAGGTCCTGGAACTACTAGCCCAGATCATCATCTTAAACAGATCTGAGATATGTCAATTATAATGGGAAGCTTTTTACATATCCCAAATGCAAAATCGCAGAGCTGTTAATTGAAACCCCTGAAGAATAACTTTTTTTAACAGCTCTTATATTTAAATTCTGCGTGTTGTCAAAACATTAATGTGTCTGCTCTTCTATTCAACTGTTGCTCTGTCTCTGATTTTCTACTTCTTCCTTCTCCCTCCCCTATATTTCTACAAAACTTCTTAATCTTGATTATTGATAATGGATTCACCCACATCTCTCACCTTCATTGCCAAAACTAAGAAAATGTTTGGAAAGAAATATTGGAAGCAGCTTATAATGCTTTGAAAACTAAATGTAAAAGCTTGAATGTCTCTAGTGAAGAGTAATACCATACTTTTGCCCAAAGCAATCCTCACCCTACCATCCATACTACAGTTTCTCATTTTTCTACCCTTTGCTATTTATTTATTTATTTTTAAGATTTATTTATTTATTTGAAAGTCAGAGTTATACAGAGAGAGAAGGAGAGGCAGAGAGAGAAGTCTTTCATCCACTGGTTCACTCCCCAAATGGCTGCAATGGCCGGACCTGCACTGATCCAAAGCCAGGAGACAGGAGCTTCTTCCGGGTCTCCCATGAACGTGTAGGGACCCACGGACTTGGGTCATCTTCTACTGCTTTCCCAGGCCATAGCAGAGAGCTGGATTGGAAGTGGAGCAGCCAGGACTCGAACTGCTGCCCATGTGGGATGCTGACACTGCAGGCGACGGCTTTACACTCTATGCTACAGCACCGGCCCCAACTAATGCTATTTAAATCTAGCAGGAAGAACAGTTAAAACAGAAAATATAGTCTATGACAAAAGTGCTTAGATGAGGGAGAGAGTGTTTATATATACGAGAGGTCTTTGCATTTCTTGGGAATGGTTCAGGAAAGATTCCTCAGAAAATGGCATGTTAGATATGGAAGATGAGAAGGGTAATACAGGAAAGGAAGATGAGATGATCTCTGCAGAAGAAGCCAAGTGCAATGGCTAACAGGCAAGAGAGAATCTTGTGCTCCTTAGAAGTCAATATGAGTTGAGCCGGCACCGCGGCTCACTAGGCTAATCCTCTGCCTTGTGGCGCTGGCACACAGAGTTCTAGTCCCGGTCGGGGCGCCGGATTCTGTCCCGGTTGCCCCTCTTCCAGGCCAGCTCTCTGCTGTGGCCAGGGAGTGCAGTGGAGGATGGCCCAATTCTTGGGCTCTGCACCCCATGGGAGACCAGGATAAGTACCTGGCTCCTGCCATTGGATCAGCACGGTGTGCCAGCCGCAGCGCGCCTGCCGTGGCGGCCATTGGAGGGTGAACCAACAGCAAAGGAAGACCTTTCTCTCTGTCTCTCTCTCACTGTCCACTTTGCCTGTCAAAAAAAAAAAAAAGTCAATATGAGTTGATAAATAAAGCACTTAGAATATAGAATAGTATAGTAGTCATCATCTAAGTTAATCCAACATAATTCTAGTCTCCTAGTATTTATTAACATACTTGCATAGTTTCTCCTGCTTTAAATAGTGGAACCTGTGTAACCAGTTTATGTTGGAAATAATAATATATGATTTTCAAGGCTAGGTCAAAAAAGACATGCAAAATGGGCCGTGTGCTTTTTGGATCACTCACTCTGGGGACACTGGTTGCCAAGTCACAGAGATACTCAAGTAGTCTTATGGGCAGGATCATATAGGGGAGAACTGAGACCTACTGCTAATAATGAGTACTCAATTGCCAGTTGTATGAGTCAGCTACATTGGATAAAGATCTCCCAGCTCCAGTCAAACCTTCAGATGACTTCAGCCCAAGATACAACTTCATGAGAGAATTTGAACCTGAACTCCCATTTGCAAGCCACTCCTGGATTCCTAACCTGCAGAAACTTATGTGCGATGGTAAATATCTGTTGTTTCAAGTCATTGTATTCTAGGACAATTTGTTATGCAGCAATATGTAGCTGACACAAGTGGGAACAGGGTATGCACTAAGGCTCAATCAGTTTGCATGAGATAAACCACATAGATAATTGTAGGTCCTGTTAGTACTTTAGTTCAAGAACAACAGTGAGTTGTTAAAGGGCGTCCAGCAGAGGAAAGATGACATTAATTGTGTTCTTAAACTTCTTTCTCTTGCACAGTGCTGAACACAGAGCTTTACACTAGGTAGGCTGTAGCTAGTATAGGATCTCAGTAACAGAACACAAAGAAGATTTGAGACTCCCAGACTAAGATAAATGGATGGAGTGCAGCTCCAGCAAGTCCCCACTCTACACCAAACCCGTATTTATGGACAAGTAAAGTGAGGTACCTGTTGTCAAGCATGTTCAATACAATCTCTTTATAATGTGTGTGGGGAGAGGTAGAACATCTGCCTAACAGACCTGTCATAATATAACATAATTTTTCCATATATATATATATATATATATATATATATGCTCTTGGTGTGGGAGTTGGAGTAATGATTTGACCCCAAAATGTCAAAATATGTGAAGTAAAAACTGTATAATTATATGATCTTAGAGGCAGGAGAAGCAATTTAGTCTCCAATGCTGGCTTCATCTATTTAGAAGCTAATGACAGTAACAACAAATTTCTTAGTATTAATTGTTTTAGGCAATTTGGCAGCACCTTTATTTACATAATCTGACTTGTTCTTAAAGCAGGTATTATTATCATTACTTTTTTCATAAATAACAAAATCGAGGTTTAGAAAACGTGCTTTACTATTGACAACTTCTAATGTGAATAAGAATGCCTGGCAGACTTTGTCACAATAAAGATTTTTGAATTGGTAAGTCTAGGGCAGGGCCCACACATTTGCATTTCTAGGAAGTTCTCAATATGACCTAGGTAAATAATCTAAATCTCATGGTAGGAATGTTTCAAATAAATATTTAAAAAAAGAAAAGAAATCAGCCTGGGAGTCAGAAATCTGCATTTTAATATTGCTTCTGCAAGTAATCCTTTTGTGTCCTTATCACCATCTGCAAAAAGGGGAATGTGGGATGACCAAATATTATCCTTGTTCTCTTTCAAATTATAAATTATAATGATTAACTTCAGAAGGTGCAAGTAAAACCTTGGGTTCCAAAGGAGACGGGCACCAAGTATCTCACATCCAAGAACCAAACTGGCAATTACTTTTCTTTCTATGAGCAACAGTAGGGAAATCATAATCAGGGGTGTTAGAAAGAGAACCAGAGGTGATGACAGAGGATTCTGATTTGTTACTCACTTTTCCAGGGCAGGATGTATTTTTCTCAAAAGCCAGCAGAGATGAAAGATTCACAGATGGATGGTGGCAATTCATGCTGCCTTGCCACTCAGTTCAGAATGTACTGAGTTAATACTCTTGGCCAACTCTTGCAGTCCCATATTCCTGATTCACAAATATGAATTATAGGATCGCTGCTGTCCTGCTGATATTATATTCTTTCTCATGTTCTTTGGGTAAATTTGTTTGTGCCTGTATTCTCAGCTGAGATGGTATCTCATAATTTTTTCCACCAATAATCCTTAGTGACTTGTAGAAGATGGGCCCTAAAATGCTGCCATCTATCACATGGAGACCAAGTTTCCATTTTGATGATAAACCACAAGAATTTTAGAAGCAATGGGCCAATGTTTATGGAGGTTTCTTGTTAATATTACTCATGATATATTTTCCCCCTGTTACTCCAAATCCGTATCCCTTGCAATGACTGGAAAGAGTGTGTATTGTCTGAGTGGAGTGGAGTGGAGTTTCTGTAAAGGAAGAGCCATGGGTGAATGAGGCATCCTGGGTTTGTACGCAGCACTAGGAATGTACTCAGATTATAAAATTACAGGATCAGCAATGCAGCAGAGGCAATCACTCTAATATTAGATTTTAGAGCTAAGAGAAAGGGGGAGAGTGTCTTATGTTTATCAAATACCAACTATGTGTCATGTACAAGTTAGTTTTCAACTAATTATTGATTATCCTTAAATGAAGGAAGCTATTATTAACTCCTCTGTAAGGAAATTAAACTAGACTCTAATAATGTAAATAACTAGCCCAAACACAGGTAGCAAGTGTTGTGGGGCCAACAGTTTAATGAGGCTTTGAGATCTAGAGTGTTTCACCAATCCTGGTTTGGCTACTTATTTGCTAAGTGGCAATCTTATTTAGTTAACCTGATGGAGCTTCCTTTTCTTTATGTATTAAAAAAAAAAAAAGCATAGGATTGTTTTAGTGTATTATCTTGGAGTAAATGGTGTATTTGGCAAATAAATTAGAACATTAAAAACCGTAACTATTAAAGTTGTCTGCTTACTTGACACATTGATTAAAATACTACTTGTGATACCCGCGTCCCATATCAGAGTACCTGGGTTCAAGCCCCAGCTCTTCTCCATATTCCAGCTAACTGATAATGGGCACACCATGAGGCAGCAGGTAAAGGTTCAAGTGCTATCCACTTATGTGAGAAATTTGGATTGAATTTCCAGCTCCACATTTCTGCCTGGGCCAGCCTCAGCTGTTATGGGCATTTGGAGAATGAACCAGTAGATGGGAATTGTCTCTCTATTTCTCTCTCGCTTCCTTTCAGATACATAAGTAATTATTTAAAGTTATCAACATCATCATTAGTACAGCATGTTCCCACCTTTAAACAAATGAATAAATAAATGAAATATTACAACAGTGCCAACATAGAGGAAGATAGAATGCCTGAATTTTATGCTGAGATGTGTTTTGAACTTGGTCATTGAGTTGGCCCTCAAACCTTCACATGCTCCTCAAAACGTAGTGGACACCTTTCTCCTCCTTCTCCCTTACTCTTTCCTTCAGTAGGTTTGCATAAAGCCTCCTTGCCTTCTCTTTTCTCTGAATATATCTTTCTCTAGAGAAAAGTGATCTGCAGAGACAAAAGGTATGGTGAGAAGGTTGTACACAGCTGATCAGATTCATGGAAGAATATGAGAGCATGGGTAGTTTAAAATACTGCCCAGAATTATTCAAATTTGGTTTCTTGAGCTGCTAGTGTTGAATACAACTTGAATTCTGCAAAGCTGAACCAGATAGGGTAAGAGTTCCCATGGAGATCCTCTAGTATCCTTGGTTGATTTTATAGAAGATGAATCTTAGACATAGGGAAAAGGACTTCCACCAACCAGAGAGTGGAGGCATGGCTGTTCTGACACACTGTTACCTCAGTCCCTATTTTGTCTTCTGCTTTAAGATTCGTCATAGTGACCTCAAGGATTTTAACTTGTCACTTTTGTCTTTGTGCTCTTTACCTCCTAGTTCCTGCCTTAATAGTTCCAAAGTACAGTCACATTTTTAAATCCACTTCGAAGCCTTCTAACATTTCCCCAAAGCAGGTTACTCTGTTTTTCCAATCTTGAGTTTCAACCCTGGAACATTCTCTAATAAGAACTCCACTGAGTGAAGTCAAGCAAAAACAAATATGTTCCAGACTTATAAAATTAATATCTCTGTGTGTGCTTTAAAAGTGTGTGTTATTGTATGTACACACATGCACACACACACACACACACACCACAGAAATGTGCTGCTTACCAGCCACTGACTCGCTTTCTAATAGTGGGCAAATGGGGCAATATTTATCATATCAGATTTTAAGATCTTAAAGATGATCTTAGTGAGATTATCCCAAATTTTCTTCTTACACTACAGTTCAAGATGCTTTCAAGTTAGTTACTGTATTTGTGATTTCCTATTTCTAACCCATTATTTCGGTTGTCTATTGTATCAGCCAATTTGGCTACCCCAGGCAGCTTAACCAAATAGTCTACACTTTAGGGAGTCCCAATTTTTGCAGAATTATGGTTTTTTGGGGGAATAACTTTAGAAGTTTCATGATCAAATGCCTTGGATAAATAGAAACCAATGCATAATAAAGCAAATGTATTAATGCTGCATCTTATTTGGAAACCTTTATATTTTCACTGATGGTGTTGCTCACCCACCCCATTTCTGGAGATCAAAAGCTCCTTCTTTGTACCAAGGGGAAAATCAGGTTTTAGAAATCGCCACACTTTCCCCACCCTCCCTCAGAATAGGCAGCTGCTTCGGCTTCTTGGATCTCGGCAATTGCATTCTCTCTTTGTCCCTGAGGTGGGCCATGGGAGGACCCAGGCTATTGTCTGAGGCGCCAATCTTTGTTGGGTTCTGGAGAAAGGGCTGCTAAGGCAGACATGAGGCCGGCTTTTAAGTTTTCCCGCCCAGAAAACTCTATTGAAGCGTTTTGTGTGGTTACTTGTGGGGGTCAGGCTTCTGATCTGACCCCTCTCATCCCTGGGTAATTAGGGCGTGCAGAGCAGCATCTCCTCCCTGGCTAATTGGCTGTCTCAATGAACCTTTCAGAGAGGAAGTTTGTCTATGACTCACTTGCCCTCTGTGGCAAACTTCAGGCCCCAACACATTCATCTCTGTCTATGTGATGGGATGGAGCGTTAGGAAGTGATTAGAACTGGATTCAAACACACCCCTGATTGCCCCATTAGGAATGAGGCCATTAACTCTTTGAGAGCTGTTTACCACCCTGGTGGGAAAATGATTGCAACCGAGGATGAATTTCAGACTTGGTGACACTAACATATTTACAACTAATTCTTAGGAAGTATGGTAGTTTCTGGTCTATACCTTGGAATCAGTTAGTATGGTAAAAAATAACGCAGAGGCTGGTGTGAACACCTGACAAAACGATGGGAAGATGCCAGAGAAAGGAGTTGAGGTAGAAAATAGCTCATTTAATAAGTCATGCTACAATAGTGGTGGGATTTAGGAAAAAGGGTGGCAATAGGAATTCAGCTCTACGTCTGTCATTATGGTCACATAGTGTTTACCGAACTTTGTGTAGTTTAATTCAAGGAAGCAAGTGAGAATGCTGCTAAATAGCCCCAGACATAAGAACTCCCTAGACACGATCATGCACACTTCCCTCAAGCCAGAACACTCCATCTGGAAATGGCCACACTACATTTCCTGCTGGGGAGAGTAAGAAGGATTTGTAGCAGCATCCAGTGCCGACAAATTAGGTCTTGGTTTTGTAGGTCATCACTTGTTTTTCATGAATGATTTACCTCCCAGTTTCCTGGCCAATGCCCAGGTCACTCATGGTTTCTCACTTGAATCTTCCCTGACAGGTTGTGACTTTTAGGAGTTCTTAAGTGGTGACTTGTGTTAGCAAGGAACACTAAATGTTAAAAAATATAGGCAAACTTCAGGCTGTTGGTGCTG